ATAGCTGATATCTGTCTCCACCAACCTAAAAGAGATACGGTCATTGAAGCTAACCGGAGTTGAACTACGGAGTGTAGTTCAATAATCGTGGTATCAACTGAAAGGAGATAAGTCTGTTCTGGATTATTCTACAAAGGCTGAGGTGATAGTTTACAGGATGATTTTACTTTGAATCATACTGAGTGCTAAACAACAGGACAATATCAAAAACGATTCTACTCTCGAGAAAATGTGGAGCTTATTGATTAGCCCTGTTAGACAGACTGGTTTGGCAAACACCACTTACTTTAGTCAGAGAGTTCATCAAGTAAGCGCTGAGTCACGTCAAGCATCGTCGTTGAAGTCGGCATCCAATATGAAACATGGAAAATAAGATAGAGGTGGATCGATTTGTAGAGAATATTGTTAACGCGCTGGCATCTTCCATACTGAACATGTAGTAATCTTAATTTCTTCTCCTTTGAAGCTTCGATGATGAAGAACAAAGGAGCGAAAGCCACTGAGGAGCATATATACATTACAAATTGTTGCACGAGAACCAGCTGCCGTTCATAGGTTAGGAAAGCAGTCAATCAACAAGTGACCACAAATGCGCTGCAGTATGAATGTTACGAGATTTTCCGTGTATTATATATAATAAGGCAAATCATATTCTGCTATTTTTAGACAAGATTACTTGCCCTGGTTACTGTACAATAACGAAATTGGCTGCATGTCTTTGTACTTCACCGTTTGTGACAAGAAACCGGTGCCGATTTCAGGATCAAGTAGATGGATATCTTCGGGACAATCATGGCAATGTGCGTGAAAGTGATTTTGAGATCAATCATGAAATAATAAACTCTCTTGCTGAAAATATTTTGTCATTTACTGAAACGGTACATAAAGGTAAATCTAACATCATAAACAGCTCATGAAATGATCACGGTAACAACGGAGGAGAAGTTGCAACTGTTGTTATACAGAGGTTTTCAATGCGATCTAGTCAATGGGCTTGGCTTAAGGTTAACAAATATCAGACAAGTTTTTATTAAATTATTTAAGTAGCCATGTTTGGATTTGCGGAGTGCGTAACTATACCTGAATTCAGAATAACGTCTGCAAGATGCTGCATTTCAAGATGACGTTCCGCTTCTGGGTAGTGGCAAATCTGGCATATTTGCCCTCGAATTTTTTTTTTGATGGCAAGTACTGATTTGATGCCAGACTCCTGGCTGTTGTAGATGTATTTTAAACGTTTTGGGTACTAAAGCAAGGGTGCAAGAGTACGGTAATGAGTTTTTAGCGAAGGATACATTTATTGACCATTTAACCACATAACTGAAGAATCCGTGCTGGAGAATGATCTGGAATGTTTCTTCCTGTCTGGTAATTTTGCCTTCTGTCAGTGTTACTGCCATTACTTCAAAGATGTTTCCTGTGCGATGGATGGCTTACGCGTGAACGATGTTGCTTACATTCTCTTGCATGGCTGCTTTTTTATTATGCCATGCTGCACAGCTATTCGATAATTTTCTCAATCCGCAATAAGTACCTCTTTCT